ATTCACATCCTAGGGTAAAACACGACATTTATTGGAAGAGGGTTTAGGGGTACCCTTGTGTTTAAAGCGTTTTCTCGTTACACCGAAGGCCCAGGGCCCCGTTCCTCAAAGCGATTGTAGCGCTACGACAGTCGTAACTCCCATACTTTAACATAGACTTACGACTGTCGTAGCGCTACGATCGCTTTCAGGAACGGGGCCCAGGTCCGATTCCCCACATGGTTACAATGCGTGAAGCCCATATCTGGTGTCCCCTGACGTGATATTGCTGGAATATTGCTACAAGCGGCGTAAAACCACACTCACTCACGTGTTGGAAGAGTTAGCAGAGAGTTTATCTGCCTGTGGTGCTCTGGACTGACTGACTGAGTTTGGTTTTACGCCGCTTTTAGCAATATTCCAGCAACATCACGGCGGGGGACACCAGAAATGGGCTTTGCACATTATGCCCATGTGGGGATACGAACCCGGGTCTTCGGCGTGACGAACCAACGCTTTAACCATTAGGCTACCTCATCGCCCCGGTGATGCTCTGGAAAACAATGAGTGACAGAGCATTGGTGACAGAAATAGGGACGGTTTAAACGCTCATATGGATAAATCAATCATTAGGAGAAAAGTCATTTTACCTTCAAACTCATTCCTGATGAAGATGTATCTGCCTGTGATGTCCTAAGAAGCAGAGTGAGTACGTTTTGACGCCTCTTGGAACACTATTCCAGTTATATCATGGCGTGTCAGCTTTATGTGGGAGGGAATCCCGAAGAAACGCAGGTCTAGGAGTGAGTGGAGTGAGTATGGTGTTACACCGCTTTTAGCAATATTCCAGCAATATCACGGCGGGGGACACCAGAAATGGGCTTCACACACGCTTTAACCACTAGGCTACTGGTCTGGGGTGTTCTCCACTGTGTAACAAACCAGAACGGGATGGTTCTGATAAACCTAGAAACATGGTCGTGGTGAACCTGAGATTCGAGCCTATAATCAAAGCTTTCTAGCGTGCCCAAGGGACGGAACTCTGCACAGCTAATTGCGGCGCCTAAGCCGTCTGGTTTGCTTCGAACGCCGTCCCTTCAGAATATACAAAGCGACATACACACACTGTTTCAAGGAGGAAGCACATTTTTTCACGTGACAGTTGTATTTATTTTCAAGCGAGAAGGGAGAACTTTAATAGTCCTAATTCTTTGTGTCTAATTCTAATGTGTAACACGCAGGATCATGTTTCATGGCTGGGATTTTTAACTTTTCCACAATGTGTCAACAAATCCTGTATTCGAGATTCACATCCTGTATCAAAGCGTGAAAACCTACCGGAAGGGGAAATATGAAGCATAATTTTTCCCTTGGTGCAACATCAGAGTATCAAGACGTATGTCGCCATGTTTATCAGCTATAAACCTGTCATGCCATATTAGCACCATGTAGCATGAATCGAACAGACACAAGCTCTTGAATCGGCGTCAGGACACGCCTTTCTTTCTCGCTTACTGTACGAGTAATTAGTATATGTACTGTGAAGGCGTAGAAGGTACATCGTCGTCGAGTTGTCGCCCTTGCATGATCCCCAAACGTTAGAACATTAACCACAGCGCAACGAGCAGTTGTTGTTTTTTGTTTTCTTTGGATTATTTGTTTGTTTATTTTTGTTATTTTGTTGTTGCTTTGATTGGGTTTTTTGTTTTGTTTTTCTTGTTGTTGTTTTATGTTTTGTTTGGTTTGGTTTGTTTTTTTCTTGTGTTTTTTTGGGGTGGTGTGGTGTGGTGTGTGTGTGTGTGTGTGTGTGTGTGTGTGTGTGTGTGTGTGTGTGTGTGTGTGTGTGTGTGTGTGTGTGTGTGTGTGTGTGTGTGTGTGTGTGTGTGTGTGTGTGTGTTTGATTGCCGTATTGCCGCAGTTTTAGCATTGTGGTACTTTAATTGATACAAATTTTTTGACCACATGTGACAACAGTGCGATATATTTCAGGGTGTGAAATATACATCGCTTTCTCGGTCGTTTTTGGTGCGCGCGTGTTGATAATTGCTTTAAACTTTGTTGTTTTAAGTAATGGCTAAACGCAGTGGCTAAAGGGAAGGTGTAAATTCATACGAAAAAATGGTTTTACTCAGTCATTTTAGTTAACTTAAAAAAATATTTGTCCCAAAAATAGCTCAGCATCCCTGGTAGGGTAGCCTAGCGGTTTGATTCCCCCTATGGGTACAATGTGTGAAGCCCATTTCTTGTGTTTCCAGCCGTGATATTGCTTGAATATTGCTAAAGCGGGCTAAAACTTACTCACTCACTCACCACTCACTCAGCATCCTTAGGGTTAACGCACGTTTATAGAAGTGAACGTTGTGCCAGAACTGAGTATACCACGGGCTATACAAACAGGGATATAAAATATCACAATTTCATAATGGTGTTCAATTACCTGCTAATTGCTTTGAGAAAGTGCTGTGTTATTTAAGGGCTATCCCATATTTTGTCTTGTGTCCAATTACATATTATTTTGCCACTTTTTATCGTACACAAAGGAACAAAATAGGCGACGAACAGCATTACGCAAATTGCCAGCGAACAACTTACTTCCTGATATCTGATTGACATAATTATACGTAACAATTTGATGCTTTTGTTTACTGTCACACATTGTATGCGAAAAATAGCTTGCCATAAATGACGAAAATCAATTTTCCTACTCTCGCACGGGTTGAGTTGTACGTCGCATCGGCATTATTTCAGCCATATAACGACAACACATACCCACGAAGTAAAAGGGACATAACTATGTTATGCTTAGCACTGGTTCATTAAAAGTCACATTCATAACCACTCGCCCATTTCCGTGACCTACAAGAAGACTCGTACCTGTATGGTCGCCATTATTGCCAAGAATCGTGGCAAACGAATCAAATCGCGCGTAGTAAAATATGAAATGTGGTCAAACAGTTTCTTTGAGATTATCGATTTTTACTATTATGTCCGTGATTATAAAACTTATCTTGTTACTGAAATTTGTTAACGACATAAGAAACTTACTTAAAGTGACTTCCGTGTTGTAGTATAATTTTTTTGGAGTAACCATGTTTGGAAATTCAGTGTATCTTTCCTTTGAAATAGTCCTTGACTAGTTTCATCTCCCTGCCCGTTTGCGCTTAGACAAGGCCCAGTCTTGAACATGGCCACAAGAGTGGTACGAGTCGCCATCCGGCTTGCCGGAATGACACGAGTACATAGTTACGTATGTAAAAGTCATAGGTATCCACATCAACATAAATGTGGATAACGAATGATATATATATTTTTATGTTTTGCTGTTAACACTAATCAATAGGAATGATAAACATGTGCTACATAATATGGTGAGTGAGTTTATTTTTAGGCCGCTTTTAGCAATATTCTAGCAATATCACGTGGAGTGTGTGTGTGTGTGTGGGGTGGGGGGATACCAGAACTGAGCTTCACATATTGTTATATGTGTGAGTCCAATGACCATTGCCTTGAAGGACTTTGGTATCGTGAATATTTGTTACTTCATGGATGTATCTATTGTGGTATTTAAACTAGACTGATTTTGGTCGTAAATTTCGCTTCCCAATATACATTGGTCTCTGGCCTTCTGTTTCAAACCGACCGCGTCATACCAAAAGACGTTACAATATGGTACTTGTTGGTCCCTGCCTGGCGCTCGGCATTAATGGGTACAACAAGGACTGTTCGGCTCGGAGTCAGTATAATGTGTCTGAGTGGGGTATTCATGCTTCACTGTGGCATGGTATCTCAGTGGGCTAGCACTATAAAACCAGCTTCAGTCTGGGCTAGTACAAGCAGCCGCACATACACACACACGCATGCACGTCGTCATATGAGCGAAATATTCTCAAGCACAATTTAACCTCACCTCACCTCACCTCACCTCACCTCACCTCACCTCTGTTGTGGTATTTAAACTAGACTGAGTTTGGTCGTAAGGTTCGCTTCCCAATGTACATTGGTCTCTGGCCTTCTGTTTCAAACCGTTCAGTTCTAAATTGCAAACATACAACTTGACAATTGAAGATCTTACGTTTGTCCTGTGTTGATTACGCGGTGACAATGAACATGCAAAAGAACCCTTGAGCTCTGATATTTCAGAGAGGCTGCGGCACTGGAGCAAATCGAAATGATTGTACTATTTCTTAATAACTGAAGCTATTTCCCACCTTGATTCTAAAGTAATTGTATCGTTTTATTCATTTCAATTAAATAAAATCAACACTTACGTTTCAAATATTGTCATGTTTTCTATTTTCTTCTAACGAAGATCCGATGGCCAAAACTTTTATGCTTGTCCGGAGAATGAGTAATTAAGACCCAGGAGGATTGTTTCGGGGTTCCTTGGATGTCACATGAAAATTATAACATTTAATGCCCTAGATCTCCCCCACTGAGATGAATTCTCTGGTCGGTTTGTCATGAACTCAACTGTTTGCTCTCATTAACTCTCACTGTTTGTGTTACGGTTATTGATCAATTACAGATAACGAGCAGAATGGCCACCACAGTGCTTCTTCTGGTACCTTGGTTTTGTGCCGCCCTCGTCAATGGATGCCTCTTTCGACATGATGACATATATGGAGGGACATATGCTGATTGTGCCAACATCAATCTATCTCATATTCCATCAGGTTTGCCTGTTTCCACAACATCACTAGATCTAAGTGAAAACAATATTACCGCTTTGAACTTTCCAGCCTACCCTTCGTTGGATAATCTCAAATACTTGGATCTGTCAAGCAACAGTTTATCAAAACTTGACAGTAGGACATTTACAGACACACGAAATCTCCAGGAATTATTCTTAAATGATAACCGACTGATGCTGGATTCCACCACCTACCCAGATGATGTCTTTCTTCCTCTTCAGCAGCTTCAGAAGCTTCATCTACACAACAACGATCCTCGTCTTGAAGGTGTCTATCCTGAGAATGCTATAGCAAATCTCAGAAGTGTAAAGGAATTAAAAAATTGACACATTTCAACTTTCCAGTTTTGGATCTGGTTTTGCAAACATGACGAATCTAAAAACGCTTATCTTTGGTTTTACTGGCTGTAAAATTCAGGCACTAAAAAATGACACTCTCAGATCATTTCGGCATAGTGACATTGAAAACCTTGACTTTGTGAACTGCCCCCTTCACGGATCTAGACAAAATGGCCTTCATACATCTTAGGAAACTTAAAAATCTTATCCTTTCTAATGCTATGCAGGTTACTCCAAAAGAAGCTGTGACTTCCATGTATAGTCTGAGTTACCTCAACATGACCTCTGTTTACTTTGATCGTATATATCCATTCAGAGACTTACAGTATGGCAGCCTGGATCGAAGGATCCTGACGAAGGCCATACTAGAAAACCTGAAGGATGTGTGCGTAGAAATATTTTCTATGAAGAGTAACAAGATACTGTGGGTTGACACCTCCATTTTGAAACCTGATTCTCGTTTCTCCAACTGTATTGAACATATTGATTTTTCTGATAATCACTTATTAGGGGATAGGATGTTGATATTCAGTTTATCCTTTGCGCCACGTATTTTGTTTGTCAACGTTTCAAACCATTTCAGGAAAAATGAGTTACTTTCGAAGATGCCAAATTTCGGATTTCCTGCATCATCACCAAGCTTCGGGTTCTCGTGTCCACCAACTCTACAATCCCTGTACATCCACGGTACATTAAGTGACATAGGGAAGTTGAATAGTAAAATCGTGATTTTAAATGCAGTATCACTCCGGAGATTTATCTTTGCCTTCAATGGGCTTGAAGCTTTTCAGTATGGTGTTTATGGCTTAGAGAACCTCACAGAGTTTGACCTCTCGGGTAATTCCTTGGGAAAAATGAAACCCGACACTATGACCTATTTCCCGAGCCTTGAAATTCTAAAGATGTCTCAAATTGGACTTGACAGAATTTTCCTTTTAGATCATGGAAGTGAAGTTTTTCGACCCTTAATTAGGTTAAACACTATCGTTCTCAGTTACAATGAGCTTACAGTCATGGATCGGAAGATATTTTCTAATAATCCGCTAACCAATATCGATCTATCATTCAATCGCTTTGAGACTGTCCCATTTGATCTGGCAACCATACCTTCCCTGCGTGACCTTGACCTCAGCTTCAACTCGCTCCCTGTTCTATCAGACACAGAGATGACCCTTGTTGATGACTTGGCAGCCAGACACAACTTTTCTCTGAACCTGAATGGCAACCTTCTGTCTTGTGGCTGTAAAAGCCTTGACTTTGTTCTGTGGCTTTTCTCAACAGATGCAACCATAAAGAGTATAGACGACTATATCTGCGTGCTGGAGAACGGACGCACTGAGTCCCCATCATATGTTTATAGTCACTACGAAGAAATATGGAGACGTTGTTCGGGTCCATTTTGGCTTTCTTTTTGCATTTCGGGTTTTGCAATACTCTTCTTCTTATTCACTCTAACGTATATGATAAGTCAAAAGAAGACTCTCCTTTTCAATATTTTATTGCGGTTGTTTGGCTTTGTAAATGTTCCAAACCCATTGAGACGGGTTGACGTCCCTAACGACGCCTACATCGGCTACAGCGACGTTGATTACCAGTACGTCTGTCACACTGTGAGAGAATACCTAGAAGATAGACACAGAGTCAAGCTCTTCCTCAAGGACAGAGACACCATCCCTGGAGGACAAATAGCCGACGACATCATCAACGGAATAGATTCCAGTTGGAAAACGGTCCTCATTATCACTCAGTCGTTTGTAGAGGATCAGTGGTGCCGCTTCATTGTCAACCGTGTTGTGTATTCGTCTTCGAGAATGCCCACAGGAAGCATTGTTCTGGTGCTGTTTAGGGACGTGAGACCAGGGGACATCCCTCCCACCTTACTGAATGTCGTGGAGGAGAGACACATCTTTAGTGTGGGTAGATACATGGGCGATGAAGGCAGGCTGTGGGCGGAGGTCAGCAAGTGCATCAAGACGGATGAGGAATGAAAAATCATTTATATCATCTACTCAAACAAGAAACGTGAATTACTGAGAGATAAACATATTCATCTCCAAGCAAAATTGAGAAGGCAATTGTGTTTTTAAATGCAAATGATCATGGAACGGCAGTTGTGAGGGGAGACACAGTTAACTGTATTTTATGTATGTGTATTGTGAATTCATGTTTATTATCATTAACTGTTGTCAAACAGCAGGGCTTTGGGAACATTGGATTGATTTCATTACACATATTGTATATTTGCGTTATATTTCATTAGTGTCAGGTTCGGAAAAGGTCCTGAGCACTGTTCTTCTTCTTATGGTCGTATGTAGCTAACTTGGGTGAAAGGTGACGTTCAGTGAGTTCCTATTATCAGACCTGTGAAGTGTTGCCTGTGTCGCCAGCCATTGATTTACTGGTCCAGACAGGTATTTATAGGTAGCCATCATAAAGCAGAAATATTGTTGTCCTTGGTGAACCACTACAAACACAAGTCTTGTAAATGTTAGTTTTATACATCTGTATTTCTGTGACATGGCCGACGGATGTTCACATAGCGTTATTTCTTTTCAGTATCGATACATTCGACATTATTCCTATAGGTCATGATGCAGTTCTTTGTAACTATCTAAATATAACAACTGTCGAGAAACTTGTATTGACAGAAATACCTGTGCAATTTGTGCAACAGACGTAGGTTCCCGTTTTACAGTTCTGTCCGCAGGATTGTGTCGGCATCTCAATATGTGTCAATATGCGTTTCAATCATATGAATAAATAATGTTGAATGTTAATTTTTGTCCCGATTGAATTATATTTCAGTTGGTCCCAGATTGTCAGAGCGCAAAATGATTTTATTTCGCCTGAGTTGACATATTGAAATAAGTGTCACATAATGTTTGATATTATACAAGAATCTGAAGAGGAAAGAGTTTATTTGGCAACTTAGTGATTTCAGGAATCTGTCTCGTCACTTTTAATTTTCGATCCATGTATAAAGACATATTCCAGTAGGTAAAGCCTTCTGTGTTACACAACTTTTAAGGTACAGTGGAGCTCGCTTTCTTGGAAGATTCCAAAGATCTCTACGCGACTCCTGTTCAAAATGAGTTTGATCAAGGTTTGCAACAAGCAAGGGACTGAGTAAAGAATCAAAAAGTTTGGTAGACATGTGAAACACATTAAAAAGTTATCGCATCAGTGACAAAATGTATGTCAGGTGCAATTCCATATTTTGACTGTTCCCGTGTTTTACATATGAAGAACTATTTGCTGTACGGTGAACATTGAAGTTTTGGGGGAATACTACAAACATTCGGATGCCCACTGTTCACCTTACAGCCTGTTATTAAAACCGTTGTTTCGTTGTACAACCTTTGAATTGAACATGCAATGTGTATAACTTTACCGTATTTTCATTATGTTTTAAGTTTGCATGCCTACATTTTACCTCTTAAGTATATCTGTATGTATACATATATAATCTATGTTCAAATGATGATCAAGTAATGTTTTCCTTATATGATATATAAGCTTATGTAACTCTCATACAGTGGCTCATACGTTTCATATTTTGCTATATTTTACCTGTTTTAAATGTACTTTTAATGTATATAAGAGGTGTGGTTCAAATAAACTATATGCCTGTTTCTGTCTGTCTGTCTGTCTACATGGACAAACTCGGGTTCGCTTTAAGTGAGTGAGTTTAATTGTACGCTGCACTCAGCAATATTCCAGCTATATAGCGGCGGTCTGTAAATAATCGAATCTGGACCAGACAATCCAGTGATCAACAGCATGAGCATCTATCTACGCAATTGGGAATAGATGGCATGTGTCAACCAAGTCAGCGAGCCTGACCACCCGATCCCGTTAGTTGTACATCTGGGAAACGCTGCGACCTGTCAACACAAGACTCTCGGAACACCAAGCCTCCGTCGACAAGCTCGCCCAGAAGTCTAGTAGAGTACCATATCAGAACATATATGAAGGAACAAGGACCACACCATCAAATGGGAAGCCACCAAAATCCTGTCCACAAACAACACCAGGCGCCAAAGGAAGCTTCAGGAAGCCATTGACATACGGAAATCAACCGTGACCAAGGAATGTACATACCATGTATGGGACTCACTCATTTAATTACATGTACATCGCTATTGCTTATCACTACCTCATCAGCCCACTGGCCTCTTGCTTGTAATGTTCGCTGCCCTCCCTAACGCGTGTTTGTGCGGTATCACTGGCTTCCTTGTGTTATTCTACTACCTATCAATTATCATGTTGTTTTAGCGTATCACTGGCCTCCTCGTGTTTGGATTACATCCCATCAATCTATTACCATGTTGTTTTAATGTATCAGTGGCCTCATGTTGTTATTACATATTCTTTCCTCACCATTGTTAACCTTGCTATACATGTTTTCTTTGTAAGTGCCCATGTATGTATATATATCCTTGCAGCGGTGTGATTTGTGTGCTAATGTAGAGGTTTTAATTCCAACTCCTCGCAGCGTTGTGGTGTGTGTGCTGATGTAGAGGTTTTAATTCCAACTCCTTGCAGCGGTGTGATTTGTGTGCTGATGTAGAGGTTTTAATTCCCACTCCTCGTAGCGGTGTTCTGTGTGTGCTGATACATGACTATTTATAGAGCGTGTGTAACTCCGCGCATTAACACCCTGGTTTTACAAAAGAAACAGAAACACGTGTTCTCATCTATTCACCAGTCAATTCATCGTCCGCTTCCACTTTATCGTTTCGAGCACTGTAATTATGAAACAATCTTTTCTGCTCCGTTTAACACTTTCATTTCAATCGTTTGCCTTAATCGTTGTTGCCTTCACTCTCGTAGCTTTGACGTCAACAAATATTTCTCCCTCATCTGCATAAGCAAGTCGGTCTATGTTAAATCTCCGTAGGAAAATGTCCGGATAAAGCGCGCATAATACCACTCTCAACTATACGTGTTCTGCTCGAGACAAGAAGCCGAGCCCAGCCGGATTAACAAAAAAATATGATTTTATTGCAGTGTTATTAAGGACACTCTGTGCATACATGTACATTGAAATGAATGCTAAGTCTGTTGACCTATATGGAACAAGACCCAAGATGACCAGGGTTAGAAATGGTCACCACTAACCCATGCTTGTCGTAAGTGGCGACTAACGGGATCGGGTGATCAGGCTCGCTGACTTAGTTGACACATGTCATCATATCCCAATTGCGTAGAACGATGCTCATGATGTTGGTCACTGGATTGTCTGGTCCAGACTGGGTCAGTTACAGACCGCCGCCATATAGCTGGAATATTGCTGAGTGCGGTGTTAAACAACAAACCAGCCAACCAATTATTTTGTGTCAACATTTGCTGCTATGTAACTAAAAAGCACCGTGCGTCAGTTGATGTTAGCTGGTTAGAGTTACCTGCCTTGGATAGAATTTTGAAAATCATCAGGGATAAAAACGCCGCTTTAAGCAATTGTATTCCAGCAATATCACGGCGGGGGGCCCAGAAATAGGGCTTCACACATTGTGCCAATGTGGGGAATCGAACTCGGGTCTTCGGTGTGACGAGCGAACGCTTTAACCACTAGGCTAACCCACGGCCTTTGAAAATGATGCGAGTCGGGACCAGAAACATATTATCTTTATTGGCCTAAACGCTTCACGCAGTACGGCTAATGTACTGTATGGCCTCCAACTGGACGTCATGCCATATCACACAGTGTGTTATCAACAGCAGTTGTCACATGGTCGGACCTGCCCCCACCAGGGTGTAGCAGTCTTCTGATACAGTGATCAGCAAAATGGAGGTGAGAGATGGTCCGCAAGAAACGACGCCGTCGCAGTCTGTCATTATGTCTAAACGAACTAAGAAGTTTGTTCGGCGTTTCATCAGGGGATTTGCAAGTGGCTTGGCGTTGTATTCTGGATTTAAAACTGTCACGGCTCTAACGAAAAATCCGTTCCGACGTGGGTAAGTAAAACGATTACTTGAGAAGATTAATCCTCAATAGAGGCTTGCAAATGTGAGCTATTGCCCTCAATGTCACGTATGTGTCACACTCTCAAACCGAGTGAGTTACATTACACCTGTGTGGCTATTGTTTAATAGAATGACATATTTATTAAACATATTTATTAAACATGTCCATGAATGATAGGCTTTGACATACAGCACCTATTGTAACATTCCTCTGTGTCTGTGTACAGTTCACTGTAAGTCGCAGTGGGGGTGGGGGGGAGTCTAGTGGTTAATAAATGCGTTCGCTCGTCACGTCGAAGACCCGGGTTCGATTCCCCACATGGGTACAATGTGTGAAGCCCATTTCTGGTGTCCCCCGCCGTGATATTGCTGCAATACTGCTAAAAACGGCGTAAAAACAAACTCACTCACATTAAGCCGCAATGCATGAGATAGTGGTGTTTTCCATGATCGTCCCTACACAAATCAGTAAAGACAAGGCCAAGTGTCATGATTTGCACGGGCTGTATATGATCATCTTTGCAAACCGTGCTCAGTGTACCCACTGTTACATTGTAACCTGTATAAATATAGACCATGTTATGATAGCAGGACACATCCACCAAACACAGGGTTCAGATAAGACGATTAGTGTGGGTAATAACTGGTGAATGTAAACACCGGTATTATCTTTCCGACCTTGACCTAGTGGACCATATGTTTCCAATCTCGTCATATTATTAAAACAAGTGAAATATACTTTGACATGTTTACTTTTCACTTTTCAAAATGTTTTTATGGTTGTATCAACGAGCCGTAGTTGAAGGCTTTAGGTCTCTGAAGTTAGCAACAATTGATCTTGTGTTTGTGGGAATGGCGGACTGTAAACCTTAAGTCAGCCACACCTGAATAATCCGGAAGCTGAAAGCTTATATTACACTGGGTGTTTAGTATTTACGAATAGAGTTGTTATATAAGGTTTCTGCATGAGTATTTTGTGCTTTTTGTGTGAGTATTTTTATGTATACATCTAACAATAATTGGGTGATAATATTTCAATGGCTTATTTCACACACAGTCCCGTATACTGTGGTCCAAAAGCCAGACACCAAAAATGGTGAAAATGTGGTGCAGTTCTGGCGACCGAATGGGTGTGATTTTTCACAATCAGAAATGATTTAGCTTTGACTTAAAGCCGGTTGTCATCAGCTACTGTGCGTGACTACCGTGCAGGGGCTTTTTTAAGGTGCAATATGTCATCAGTTATGGCAAGATTTAAACCGATTATAGCTGGATGATTTAATTTAATAACTCTGGTTTGGATTGACCGATTTTCATCAAAATAGTAGTTTTGGAATGCTCAGATCATGTTTTAAAATTGCGGACAATATTATTAAAGATATGCTCATCGCAAAAATATTTTGGTAAGGTCAAAGGTCAATTTTAATAGAAAGGGCATTTGATGAGAAAAAGTGAGTTGAACTTTACAAATTAAAGGCAATTTTTCCAAAAACTATATCATTTGAAAATCATATATACCTTGATTGGCATTGTATTCATGAAAAACCATTATAAGGAAACAAAAGTTGATACTTTGTACTTAGATCAGCAGCAAAATTTTACATAATGTCTCTTCAACTGTAACAGCCCCATGCTTTATATATAGTATCAACGATACCAGGGGTGTAGAAGATAATGTTGGACTATCATTGTAATCACACAACATAACAGAAAGCTCTTAAATGTATAATTCTATAATTCCAGATGTCTTTCGTTGCTCATCAAAGAAAGATGAGTGAGTCTTGTCATCATAAAGCAAGCAACATTTCCTTCCTACCACTTCGTGTTTATTGTTCATATTCGGCATAGTGTATTTATTCCTAGTTGACATGTTAGTCAATGTCAAGATCACGGGAACATGTTTCTGAAGTACACAACAGGTTCAACCTCTTACAACTATGGGGCGGTGGGGTAGCCTAGTGGTTAAAGCGTTGGCTCGTCACGCCGAAGACCCGGGTTCGATTCCCCACATGGGCACTATGTGTTAAGCCCATTTCTGGTGTCCCCCGCCGTGATATTGCTGGAATATTGCTAAAAGCGGCGTAAAACTAAACTCAGTCAGTCAGTCTAACAGCTACACCTTCCTGTACATTGACCTTTACATGCACATATATGAAGTTGAAGAAGGTCTACGGAAACGATTTAGTCTTGACTTATTTGCAACTTTACCACAGATCTATTACGACAGATTTTACACGTTTAAGGTAATTTTACCAAAATTATTTTTTCATTGTCAGTTCTTTAGACAAATGTGAGTGGGAGAAAAGGGCTACAGATGTTACAGGCTTAAATGTTGTCACTCAAATTGAGGTTTGATAGTTGTTTAGGCTATGCAATATGTTATTTCTCTGCTGGTTTATTGGGTGTTAACTGATAACAACATTACTGCATTCCATCAATAAGAAAACATCTGTTAAAATACTAGTGATCGGAACCTGCTTACTCACACAGTGTTGTTTTACTTTTCAAAGTTCTTTGAGGTAAGCTTGTTTTCAAATTATTGATTTAGTATTATAAGCAACGCTGCAGGTTATCTGGAGGTCTGGACGTATCAACGCATTAACGCCTTGAACAGATACCTCCCATCTTTCCTCTATTTCCACTACCCCATTGATAAGATGGGAGGTATCTGTGAAGGGTGAAGGTGAAGGGAAAAGAAGCAGCCCAGAAACGTCGTGTTGTGAATAATAAGGACGTTGTTATGTTACATTCCAACATCGAAATGCCAATCAAGCATCTACATGTCGATCAGTTTACAGTGCAAACATTATGAAAATTTACCTATGATTAAATATAGTGAATAGGATCGATGCTGTTGTGTGACAATACACAAATAAGGAGAACAAGATGAAGAAGACACCCATCTTCATTTGAAGTGTGTTTGCGGAAAATTTAGCACATTTTGCCCTACCTTTAATACCCGTTAGTACACGTACACACACACAAACACACACACACACACACTCACTCACTCACTCACTCAAAATCAAGTCAGACCTAGCCCATACAAATCAACAAAAACAAACAAACACACGCACGCACAAAACCCAATGCCATAAAAAGGCTACACAGTGTGCAAGTTTTATATTGGATCTAACAACATTTCTTTAATGTGAGAGAATTCAGAAACATAGGTATGGTCTTGAAAAACCAATAAGCATATCCGGGGCATGTTTGGATCCATAATTGCATGACCCCGACACGTTATACAAAACGTAAGCCTCTGAAAATAGGAAACTTTGATAGAAATATATAACTCCGTATATACAGAATTAGTCCAGTGAGCTCGGAGATTCAGAACCAGTCGGGGTCTAGACTGGCTTCATTTTGGTCTATTGCATTACAGAAGGGGTTGGTCCGAAACGTTTGAGTATGAGTATGACAACTGGCATGTGTAAGGTCCCAGCAATACAGAGTGAATGTGGTTCTTACGAGGAGGTAAACACATTTTAAAAACCTAATCTCTTAGTAATATTAGCATTCGTATTTCGGAAATGAAATATGTAGATCTGGGCAAGCAGAAGGTGTCCTTCATTCAAAACACGCTCTGCTGACCACAGCTGGTGGCTTCATAATATCTGTTGGAACAATGCAGTTGACTACAGCCGACTTGGTAGTGTTCATCTAGGGGAGGTCTGTCAATATTTTAGAGCTGACGTTGTATTGTCGACGTTCATCAGCTGATGAAGATAGTGATTCACGTGAGCCAATTCCATGATGCGATAACTATTGCCAATTCATTAACTCTCTGCTTGAAGGACAACACAGTCATGCGACATACTGAAATCGGGAAATGAACGACAGTTGGTCTTTTAGTATCCCTCTAGACGAGGTCACCCACTACTGTCAATATGTATACACTGTATAAGATTTCGAGGTTTTCCACGCAAAGTCAAATTCTAAAGCGTCTGTCAACGTATATACCAACGTCTGTGCGTGTATTGAATAGCTGATAGTAATTAATTGCAACTTGACAATTGGCTCTCTGAGGTACAACTTGAAATGACCAGTTGAAATTGGCCACATACATTGTTTTGTCAATAATAGCATTTGGAATGATCTACAGTCCATATCATGAGACTAACTATGCATATATTTATTAACTATACTCACAGGTTCACAAATATGTTGGGTCAAAATTGATTTTCAGCAACCCATGTTGTCGTACGAGGGAACTAATGTGATTGGGTGGTCGCGATCGTTCTCACTTGTTTGAAGCACGCCATCGTATCCGTATGCTCATAGTGTCGTGACCATGTTATGTGTGTCAATCTTTTGTGTGTATCATTACATATAACTAAAACTGAGGCCTGCATATTTTATGAACGTTACAGTAGAAGCAAGATGATCATATGAATATTATCTAGCAACATCTTTGAGTTGTCCATAAAAGTAGGCACTTAATGTTTTGTATTTGAAGCAATACGTTTCTGTCGTAATAGATCTGTGATAAAGTTGCAAATAAGTTAAGACTAAATCGTTTCCGTGGACCTTCTTCAACTTCATATTTGTGCATGTAAACGACAATGTTCAGAAAGGTGTAGCTGTAAGAGGTTGAACCTGTTGTGTACTTCAGTATGTGGATGTGGACTTGAAACATGTTCCCGTGATCTTGACATTGTTGTCATTGACTAACATGTCAACTTGGAATACACTATGCCCATTAAGAACAATACATACGAAGTGGTAGGAAGGGAATGTTGATTTTGTTATGATGACAAGACTCACTCATCATTCCTTGATGAGCAACGAACGACATCTGGAATAATAGAATTATATGCTATTTTATGTTGTGTGATTTTAATGATAGCCCAACAGTATCTTCGCTATATTTGGTATCGTTGATACTATATATAAAGCATGGGGCTGTTACTGTTGAAGAGACATCATGTAATATTTTGCTGATCTAAATACAAAGTACCAACCTTTGATACCTTGTAATAGTTTTTCATGAATACAATGTCAACCAAAGGTATATATGATTTTCAAATGATATAGCTGAATCAGAAAAAAAACATTGGAATTTTGAAAAAAAATTGTAAAGTTCAACTCATATGTTCTCATCAAATGCCCTTTCTATTAAAATTGACCTTTGACCTTACCAAGATATTTTTGCGATGAGCATATATGTAATATTATTTTCCACAAGCTTAAATCATGTCTGAGCATTCCAAAACTACTATTTCGATGAAAATCGGTCAATCCAAACAAGAGTTATAAAATTAAACCATCCAGCTTTCGGCTAAATTTGTTGCACCTTAAAAAGGTCCCTGCACGGTAGTCACGCACGGCAGCTGATGACAACCGGCTTTAAATAAAAGCTGAATAATTCATGATCCCAAATCACATCCCATTCGGTCGCCAGAACTGCGCCACATTTTCTCCATTTTGGGGGGTCTGGCTTGTAGATCACATTGCTGAATGATGGTAAAGTAACGCAAGCTCACACTGTAAGCTGGGCGTTTTCGTTGTGTGTGAAAGAGTGAATTGGACAAAAAAGAGATTGATATTACACATAATATCCAACACCATCGGTTTATTATAATTTGGAACAAATAGGAACGACTATATGATAGACGCTTAAATCGACTGAAAATAGTTCCCACAAATATACCCATCACCCGAATGACAAAACAACACAATCCATTAAAGTCACAATATCACACCACACATCTCTAAAAATAAATACTGTATTTCTCTCAGTATTAAGTACTATCAGCATTCAGGGAAGTTACCAGAATTTATTCAAAAACAATTACCTATTTAGATTATAATACTGAATTTAAAAGTTCGAATGCATTAATGCAACGTTGCATTAAATCGACTCTCGCGCCCTCTACCGGTCGAACATTATTTCAAGCGAACCCCATAGAGTTATGCCCCTTGGAGCGCTCTTTACTAATATCATTCGCACAACTTGTGATTGAAACCATTTCGGCAATTACCGACAACACTGCGTGCGACAGTTTTCGATGCAATTGTTTACATTCTATATATGGCAAGTATTCTCTGTTTGGAAGCTGTTCGCCTCGAAGTTTCGATTATCGATTTCAGGCAACTCGTTAGGGATAATATGTCTTTTATTGCATCAAATATGAAATTAAAGTGAGTGCATATGCCATATATATATAATATAGGCCAGGATATTGTCGAAAATGTGTGACCATGTGCCTTTATGTTAACGTTGTTATGGGAGTGGGGTAGCCTAGTGGATAGAGCGTTGGCTGGTCACACGAAAGGCCCCTGTTCGATTCGCTATTCGCTACGTTAGTACAATGTGTCCGGCCATTTTGTGGTGTCCCGATACGTGGGTTAAAATTGAACCTCAGCAACATATATCAGTCGTAAAAGGCCACCAAATGAATCGGGTGGTGAGACTAGGCGACTTGCTTGATAGCCAGCCATCGTACCCTGACTGCTCACAATATCGCTCATTCTAACGCGTTCGGTTTTTAAATTACATTTAGCGGTCTTAAATCAACGATAAAGGACCGCAAAATTGAAAACAGAGTAGCTTTATCTTCTAATTTGGTTCTCTTGTCCAGTATTTCTGAGTGCGGCGTTAAATATCAAACGATGAAATGTATGCACCAGTTTCTAATTTTGCAACTGATATTGTGTTCCCTTAAACAAATATCCAACGGAAAATTAAACTTAATTAAACCAACACATTATTGAGTTGTTAATATATCATTGATACCACTAAATAAGCAAAGTCTGAACGACACAAACTTGTTTCACCAACCTGATTCTGACTCTATGCTGTCCTGAATTGTTCTCTCAGTCTACCGCTGATCCCCGGACAGATCTTGAGCTCGGACTGCGTCAGGTTCTCCACGTTCCTGGGCCTGTATCCTAGCGTGTACCACCTGGCCGTGGACCTCCTCAAGAAATACCGAGGAATCAATGTGAGTATCCGCTACAGTCCGTTTTATCTCATTTGAGACCGATGAAGTGCTCACTAACACAAAATCTAATACTTGCAGCAAAACCAATTTGGCACAGTCTCCTGAAATCGACAGACCAACTCTGATGATTTGTCTCATAATTGTGTGCAGTATTTCATGTTTCAACTCGTCGTTTTGATTCGTTAATCCTGTATCCGTCCTAGCACTCGTGAATATTATGATTGAAAAGTACCGTTCGGTCCCTCTCCCCTTTTATTGATTTGTTATTGTGTTCTGTCTCTCGCGACGGATATATTCCTAACGTACGGCTAAACGCCATTTTCTCTAGACATTCTGTCTCCATACCGTGCCATCCGGTATCACTGGTGAGTAAAGCTGCTAATCCATATACGGATTCTGATGTAATTCCCTACTTATGTAAGGATGCATTTTTACCTGATAACAATATATATCGCCATACTGTGGTATGGTATGTTATCGTATTGGCAACGGGGTCCTTTCGCGAAGCAACCTTTACTAAGGTTAACCTTCGCTTACATTCTTTAGCATTGCACTAAAATTACCTTGTGACTTACGATCACCTTAGTGGTTTGTGAAAGGAGGCCCATGTCAATAAGGGGGCCTTAGCTATCAGGGGCATTTCACTCAGGAAAGTTCGGTCCTTTTGTCGTATCCGGGGTCTTATTACGTTTCTTGGTTTACATACACCATGCTCAGCTCTACGACCTTATCTCAAGGGGTTTTCCTCCTCTATAAAACTGACAATGTAATGTTAATGGAATGCTTATAAGAGCGGTGTAAAACACAACTATCTCACTCATGTCATGACTGGACTTGTGTTCCAGGATGGGTGGAACTACGGACTTGCAGGGGGCATGGCCGGACTCACTATCATCGTGGACGACCATAGCAGGAGAAGCGTGGTGGCGTTGTTCGCTGTTGCCCGAGCACTCGGAGCTGGGGTATCGACTCTGGTGACCCGTCAACTTCTCCGAAAGGTTCCATACAGTGAAACAATGGCCTTCTGTTTGTGTTGTGGTTTTCTTGTGTACTGTACGGCCTTGAGACCCAGTGTACTTGCCAAAGGGTATTACCATTCTATCTTGAAATGGTCACGTGACTACACAAACGCGAAGCTGGACCTCCTGTTCAGGTTGCCTAGCGACCATTTCATATCCTGCCAGGAAGGAGGTCTACACGCAGACTCGTGCACCCGACATGCATTCTGGGATTTCCTGTGCAGTATTTCATCTTTTGCGAAGCTCTATTTTCCCATCCATGTCACCCCTATAGTCATCTTTCGCCGTCACCTCATCGTGGAGAAGTAAGTTCTTATTTATTGATATCAATACATTGATTAAAACAAATTTCTGAAAATACTGTGCAATAAAGGCAGAAAACCCCATTACATCAGCTACGCTAACAGTTTCTCAGATCCTTACGCAGAAAGGTATTGTACCGAAGTGAAAGAACAGATTTCAAAGGTCTTGATCATAACAGGAGATCCGGGCCGATCTTTGGGTTACGATTGTCGGAAATCTGAATTAATGTATGGCAACCCGGGTCGTCTTGACCGGACAATTGCCGCCAGCACACCATGTTTCGTACACATACTTTGACATCCCACATTAAACATTATGTCTAAAGTGTACATCCCAAGAGATAGGCACTGAGAAACACACTTTGTGCCATTGCCCAAATGTTGTAGATCAACGTCAACAAATGTATACTCATACAAAGGTATGTTCTGAAATCTCCCATCTGTTTCTTTTGATTTTTTCCTTCGGTAATGGTGCCCTTAAAATATTTACGATTTAGGCTTGGTTCTTTTTACCTTGAACTGTGAAACTCCAGACCAGGGTATTTCAGCAGATGAAAAACTTGTAGGTCTTGTCATTATTTTTGTTTTACAATATTTGTTGATACCATTTATCAACCAGTGACCCAGACTGTATGACAGCTCGGCGGGACTGAATTGTTGCTATGACTGTTACGTAGCCTTCCGCAAAACAATACTCGTATACTCACTCACTCGACTTACTACACACACACGCATGTAGTGTACAGTCTGTCATACATCCCTGTGAAGATCCGTTATAACTGGTTTTCAAAAATCAAGGCTTGTCTAACGAGGAGACTAACAGGTGATCGTTGAATAGTTAATGCATGTTGTCATTTTCAATTTGCGTAATACGATGCTCATGATGTCAATCACTGTGTTGTGAGATTAATTTCAGACCGTCATTACATAGCAAATTTTGCTTAGTATGGTGTTTGACAGTTGGCACATTAGGCTTACATTTAGGTAATTGTGCTTATTGTATTACTTGATCTGGAACTTGCCTTTGTGGTTTCAAATGTTCAACTTCACTTCTCCCTGAAAATTCGTCACGCCGAAGATTCGGGTTCGATTCCCCTCATGGGTGCAATGTGTGAAGCCCATTTCTGGTGTCCACTGCCGTGATGTTGCTGGAATATTGCTAAAAGCGGCGTAAAACCAAACTCACTCACTCACTCTCCCTGAAACTTGTTTCGTTCTAATTTCAGACCAAAAGTCGTCATTCTATCGCTGTTGAGGAATCTGGTCATGTCAAGTGCTTTCCTTTCAACAATGGTCATGTTGGCCAAGTACGTCATATGTCTCCAGCGCAACTTCATCCGGAAGCCACCTCCATTACCTCCCTTTGTCCCGATCGTAGCCGGCTTCGTGTGTGGTCTCGGGGTGTTGTTCGAGAGGGAAAGTAGACGGAAGGAGTTGGCCTTGTTCCTCGTTCCACATTCCCTACATGCACTATACAATATGGAGGTGAAGTCCAAGGTTAAGGTCCTATCCCGGATCCCCCACGGCTATGTAATTTTGTATTCAATGTCCATGATGGTTATTATGCATGCATATGAACGCCAACCAGAGTCGCTCACTCCTCTTATCAACGGACTATTGCGTTTCTTTGTTGGTAGACGAAAAGTGGACTGCAAGAAAGCAAAACAAGCATAGTGCGCTTCCGGTTATATTGCAAATTAGTTTTGGCAGTTTCGGTGGCTTTGTTTGGTTGTTTATCTTACTGTAGTCCAAGGAAGTGTTATTAATATCTTGTTGGGTTCTGTTCAAAGCAGTCTAAGTGCTACGAAATGTGCACGTCAGTATGTTATAACACTGTTTATCTTACTCATACAAGGAAGGCTGAGCATGTTGTCCTGTTGATCCAATATGAATCGGTTGCTCATGTTGACTCAGTAGGTTTGCAAAAGTGGTCGTACATATCAATTTGAATACATAAAAACTGGAACCATTCTCACTCACTTTTATGTATGAACAATCATTCATATCCAGTAATACTGCTTCTCCACAGAGATTAATCTCCTTGAATGGATAATAATTGTTAATATCACTATTCAACCAGCTTTAAATGAGGGCTATCTTCCACAGCCTGGAGCTAAGTTACAGCATCCACTTTGTTTCGAGTGCAATTTTAATCTCGTCTCCCTTTAATATTGAATATTATTGAGACTAGTGGAGATGTTTGCTAACGAGTTGTATTCCCGCTAACCATAAGGCGAGCTAGCCAGTTATCAGCAGTATGCTATATTAAGCCCAGACTAAATATATAGAAAAATCGTCAGTTAGTTTATCTGAACAGGTTTATCTCCGTGAACTTTAAAGCGGATAGTGGCCCACTTACACAAACTGCCTCGTCCACTATAGGTCTGTGTATAGAGTTTTTGTCACAGTAGTCTCCGGCCATAACATGCTCTATCAAGTGTGCTGGGATGTGTCATGTGCCTTGCACATTGCTTTATCTGGCACAAACCATGCCTATAGGATGCGACACTGTTGATTGATAATAACCCGTCCTGGTTTGCCCGGACAAGGCCTAACTGCTCAACAACCAACTGTGATAGGGATGAGTTCTGTATTTATGTTTTCTCAGTGACATAATATGTCCCTTTGAAGTATTGAAATTCTTCATTTAAAAAACTAAGTTATCTTTTTCATTTGTTTTTATTCATCAGAGCAGCACTTGCAAATGAAGCAAGTTGCCTTGAATCCTAGATGGGATTCAATCTTGAAAGTACTAAAATCTTTACATTACTTAATATGTGCAATCCCAGATATAACGTATGGTACATTTTATTGTTTCTCCCACTGAGGAGATGAGAGTATCCTCGTAGCTAGAGGTAAAGCGTGAAAATGCAAAGGTCCTGGTTTGATTCCGGACACAATACGGTTTCTGGTGTCCCCCGACGTTATAATGCCTGTATATAGTTTGAAGCGTCGTGACATAATTCGCTATCCTACTAGCTAACATTTGCTTGTTGGGGATGTTTTGGACCGTACTTAGAGATCACAAGGGAGAAGCATACTATTGACAACTACTATACATTCGGAAATGGCAATCGTTTTGGCTCGATCACTGTATCTTCAGTGATATCCCAACCATTGGCGGAAACCACGCCCTTCGCCTTGATTGTGTACGTAGAAGTCATTTTGAGTATTAAGAAGCACTCTAGTTTTCTTGAGGGGCGGTGGGTAGCCTAGTGGTTAAAGCGTCCGCTCGTCACGACGAAGGCTCGGGTTCGAGTCCCACATGGGTACAATGTGTGAAGCCCATTTCTGGTGTCCTCCACCGTGATATTGCTGGAATATTGCTATTGCACGTGTTCAGCCCTTTCAATTCATATTTGGAAGCAAATCCAACTGGTATGATGCACCGAGGGGGTTTACTAGTTGGTTATACAGACCCTTACACGAATATATCCAGTTCAACCTATGCAGGGGCGGTGGTAGAAATAGTCGCAAGTTTATCGCAGTTTAGGGATTCTGTTGTATTACTAGTATATGTTATGAAGATTTTTTTGTTTTATATAATATGTTGATTTCAGAGACGAGATGTTAGTGTTGACCTAAGTTGTAGTATTTATATACAATATGTTGATTTCAGAGACGAGATGTTAGTTTTGACCTAAGTTGTAGTATTTATATACAATATGTTGATTTCAGAGACGAAATGTTAGTTTTGACCTTAGTTGTAGTATTTTTATATACAATAGAGACGAGATGTTAGTTTTGACCTAAGTTGTAGTATTTATATACAATATGTTGATTTCAGAGACGAAATGTTAGTTTTTGACCTAAGTTGTAGTATTTTTATATACAATATGTTGATTTCAGAGACGAGATGTTAGTTTTGACCTAAGTTGTAGTTTTTATATACAATATGTTGATTTCAGAGACGAGATGTTAGTTTTGACCTAAGTTGTAGTATTTATATACAATATGTTGATTTCAGAGACGAGATGTTAGTTTTGACCTAAGTTGTAGTATTTATATACAATATGTTGATTTCAGAGACGAAATGTTAGTTTTGACCTAAGTTGTACTATTTATATACAATATGTTGATTTCAGAGACGAGATGTTAGTTTTGACCTAAGTTGTAGTATTTATATATAATATGTTGATTTCAGAGACGAGATGTTAGTTTTGACCTAAGTTGTAGTATTTATATACACCACTCAATAACAAGTATTTGCCAAGTCAGATATGGGTCGAGAACTATGTCCTATGTCTGAGAAGGACATTATTATTTCCTGCAAGCACTCTCAATTATAGCCTTGTTAGGATATTTTAGGATGTTTGTCAATGTATTCCCTCTATGTGATATGTCCAGATATATTTAACAAAATATGTATGAGTTTATGGTAATTGGTTTCACACTGTCTGGGGTGTTGATTTTCTATACTACCCGTCAAAAGTTTAGACTCCTAAAGCACTCACTATATGTTATGCATATATATATGGTTACATCGAAGATGAATTTCTCTACTATCTTGGGGCAACCAACTGCAAACCTTATGCAGATGAATTTCACGAGGATCATGGATCAAATTGCTGAAAGGCATGTGCAAATATCGGGCATGTAAACAGCTGCGTTTTGGTGTAAAGCTTTGTTAAGAATTCTCCAATTTTCACCGAGTTTCATCATTTATTGAACCTATGACAATAACATTTTCAACGTTACCAATTTGTTTTACAATACATCAGTTCATGTGTCAACAGTACCTTTAAACAGTATTTAATTTTTTTTTGCAAAATCGAGATCAGAACAGTTGACTGAAGTAAGTGGCCACATTTACACCAGTGAGTCTAAACATTTCATGGGTAGTATGTATATATGAAATGACTGTCTTGATACTTGTAGCTTGTCAAAATATCATTTATACATCTTTAATGCTTTAAAACTGTCGATAAGTAAATACGACCTCAAGTATTGGATACTTATTGAAGCATTTTCATATTGCTATTTATTACTGATATTATATTTGATACTGTAGATGCTGACAAGACCCAGATGTTAATGTGACACTTAGCTGATGCTCCAGAATATCCGCTCTCATTTTATGATCACCACAGCTACAACAAAACGTCCATTAAACTGGTTTTCAATTAAGACGTTGTCTGTTTTGTGTTTCATATAAAATAATACACATAAAATAATACATATGAAAATAATACATATAACAGCACCCGAATAATTCGCCTCACTCACGTTATGTACTAAACAAGAAGGCAAAACCTGAGCCTATCAACAGAGTAATCGGCTCTGTCATTTGTCATCTACACTGTACCCATAAACGCATGAGTTATGTCTTCTGAATGATGCTATTGTCTTGTGTGTTATGTATTTCACGGTATTTCATAAATAGTAATTGTTTTCTGATATCCTTTACGTTCGCAACAACCACAGAGTATATAATTTACCCACATATCTGTTCGAAACTTCACATTTATTATCTAATTGCTGATATTCCTTATGTTCACATCTGCAAAGAATATTTTACCCAGAGACATGTTCGGATATTCACAATCTCAATGAAAGTCGTCAGTGAATATGCAGCGAAAGCTAAGTTTGCATTGTGGAAAGGGCAAATGTAAAATTTACTAAAATTGCAGCTGGTCAGTTATACAGTAAATTTAGAAGACAACCACTGTATATTGTGTGTAAATGCATGGTCATGTTGTGGTTTAAAATTGCAGCGAAATTCTAACATTAATAAACATTTGACTGATAAACATTTTTTATTAAGTTTATCAATGTATCCGTACAATTTATCACTGAGTTTATCACTGGCTGATAAACTCCCATGGATTTATGTTTACACGGTCCCATGGATTTGTTTTGTGAAAAAAATATTAATGGTTGTGGATTTCAGACAACAGACAGTGTAAACTTCCTATTACACTGACTAATTTCCCTATGCATGTTTTAGGACGGTGGGCGTTCGCGCATCTGGTATTATATCTGTTTAAGACGTAAATCTTTCAATATCCAACTCGACAAAATACATTGCGGTTACTACCAACAATTAAGCTTCCGGTTGGGCGTGTGCAGTGCGTACCCCATGTGAATTATCCTTCGGATCATCAAAACCAGGGCGACATTCCTTGTGTTCATTAAATTTGTGTTTGGAAGGCATGTCAAATCATGATGAATCATGCAAGTAATATTCCTTATCCGATTTTTTTCAAGGAAAATGCTACGTGCGATACTACTTGCCCCGCCTCTGACACCCCAACCCATCATTCAACCATTAAAATGGATTGGTAATAATGATTTGGGGTTTTTAAGAGTTTTGAGGAAACGCCGATATTTCCTGCACGAAAGCATAGAAATGAACTGTAATAGTTACACGCTCTAGTGAGTCATGCTACTTATAATTATCTTCGTGAACTTTGACAGATGGAAACAGGATGTCGTGAGTGAAGATACATACATCCCCTCTCCGTGCAGACATCTTGACCGTGGATGTAGTCTCTCCAGATACACAGTTGCAGTAACATCTATGTAAGTATTGTCATTATGCGTGTGTGTCTGTATGTGTGTATTATGATTGTTTGTTGTTATGCATGTGTGTGTGTTTGTGTGTTGTTGTGTATAGTATTTTATGTTGTTTTGTGTATGTGTTGTGTGTGTTGTTATGTGTGTATGTGTTGTTGTTTCGTGTGTTGTGTGTGTTTGTGTGTTGTTGTGTATAGTATTTTATGTTATTTTGTGAATGTGTTGTTGTTTCGTGTGTTGTGTGTGTTTGTGTGTTGTTGTGTATAGTATTTTATGTTGTTGTTGTTTCGTGTGTTGTGTGTGTTTGTGTGTTGTTGTGTTTAGTATTTTATGTTTTGTGTATGTGTTGTTTCGTGTGTTGTGTGTGTTGTTATGTGTGTGTATGTGTTGTTGTTTCGTGTGTTGTGTGTGTTTGTGTGTTGTTGTGTATAGTATTTTATGTCGTTTTGTGAATGTTTTGTTGTTTCGTGTGTGTGATTGTTGTTTTGTGTGTTGTTGTTGTTGTTGTGTGTGTATGTGCTGTTGTTTCGTGTGTGTAAGTGTTGTTTCGTGTGTGTAATTGTTGTTTTGCGTATGTTGCTTGTGTGTATGTGTGTTGTTTAGTGTGTGTTGTTGTGTGTGTTGTTGTTTTGTGTGTATGTGTTGTTTCGTGTGTGTAATTGTTGGGGTTTTGTGTAATTGTTGTTTTGTGTGTATGTGTGTTGTTTTGAGTGTATGTGTTGTTGTTTCTTGTGTGAAATTGTTGATTTGTGTGAAATTGTTGTTGTGTGTGTGTATTGTTTCGTGTCTTGTTGTTTCGTGTGTGCGTGTGTGTGTGTGTGTGTGTGTGTGTGTGTGTGTGTGTGTGTGTCTTGTTGTTTAGTGTGTGTTTGCAAAAATTCGTCATGTATATTTATACTAACCACATCGAGATAACTGTTTTCAATAATTAAACAGGTGGTAGTATCAGTATGTACATTATTTCAAGTATTTCCAAGAGGCGAGAGGTAGCGCGTTCTCGTTGTTCACAATGTTTAAGCTACACCACTGTGATCAATAATTGTATTAGTTAAACTCCGAGACGCGGATGTCTTTCAATGTTTTATTGAGGTTCAAATACAAACACTCGAAATCGATGATATATCCGTGATAATATCGCTTAAAAACCGAAGAGGGAACAACCAAAGAATATATGTAACTAACATGTTGAAAAACCAACATTGTCGCTGCCCTATGTAAAGGATGACTTAGTCAATCCTGGATAGTTATAAAACTTTGCGATCCTCCTGCGTGTGTCATGCGTTCCCCTTTTCTTTCGGACATGGCCTCGTTCTGCTTGACGACTCAGGTTATGAATTGCATATCCTGGGCTTGGAGGCAATTCGGTGAGGACCATCTCGAGCACATTTATTAATAAGTAAACTACCCCAGGGCAAAGACCTCTTACGAAGGAGCATTACCTTGATAAAAAATGAGTAATTTTAGTGAAAAGCTGACAGATCACCCATTATGGATGATTAATGTATAGACTAACTGAATGTACAGGATGAGTTATAGACCTTGCCTTCATAACCAATAATCTTGATCATACCACCCTGAAACCGTTAATAGAAATGGGTCTGAATTAGTAGTTTTAAGTATATGAATAACTAATTACATTTTTCTTAATTTTGTGTAATGCTTATATCAAGGAAGATTCATGAAGGCACTACAAGGAAGATTCCTGGAGGTACTCACGGCAATAGAAATAAAAGGGTTTGGGGCTTCATTTTATCAATTTAAAACCAAGTAACATTATTTTGTTAAACATTCAATAACCACCTTTTCCAGCTTTTACTCTTTGACATTATTGGTAAGTTCTTCCGAGAAAGATAAGTTTACAGGAGAGAAAATCGTTCAAAAAATTACACCTTGAAGTTTCATCTGAGTACAAATTTATTTTTTCCGATGCAAGCTACAGTATGCAAATAAGGGGTTCTCTCCATACTACTGTCTGCTAATATCATATTTTCTGTACTAATAATATATTTTATATATTGTCATGAAATTTACAAAATTAATGATATGGGTAAAATGGGAATTATCTGGGTTTTCTTCGCAGTATATTTCACACTTTAATTCTTGTCACAAGAGGGCGGTGGGGTAGCCTAGTGGTTAAAGCGTTGGCTCGTCACGCCGAAGACCCGGGTTCGAATCCCCACATGGGTACAATGTGTGAAGCCCATTTCTGGTGTCCCCCCGCCGTGATGTTGCTGGAATATTGCTAAAAAGCGGCGAAAAACCAAACTCAGTCAGTCAATCAGTCTTGTCACAAGATTCCATATCACATTTTCACAGCATTGATTGCCACGTGCACACACACACACATAATAAGTCCGGACATTGAAACTTTGATTGCAAATGTGTTCAACTTCTATAGTTTAGAGAAAGATCGGGGGGAGACGTCTTGTTAGTCCCGACAGTGTGCCTTACTGCACAATTCGAGCATTGGCAGTTCCTTACCACAAAGACTATTAGATTGTAAACAAAACAAAGCAAGTAGGTGTCGTCTCAAAAGTCAATCCAGGAAGAAAAGAGAAGTTCGATAACACTGACAAGGAAGTCTTTCTTCAGACTCAATGACCAGAAAGTACCACCTTGATGTTGTAAAATCGAGCCCGAAATAGGCATCTCTATGGAATAAAATCAGTGAAACATATTCTGACAAGCTCAAAACTGCTATAAAATTTATTAATTATGTTGAAGTTGAGTGTGCAATCGATTCACTGTATAAAATACTTTAAATGAAGCAGTGAAAGTCGGTAAAATAAATGTGTACATAGTGAACTGAAAAACAGAAAATCGAACGTATTTCCAACTCCGTGCACTGCATGCGTCATATGATGACGTCATACGTTTCATACGAAATATTTTTCCAGTTGTCACCCTCCTGGGACGGGTGACACGGAAACTTCTTAAAGTGTCATTGACCAATGAAATTAAAGTATTTTACATGAAGGTAACATAATGACACAGTTAATGGTCCAGTCTGCATGGTCACGTAGCATTCTAATCCCCTGTCTGACCCCCATATCCCCAACAGGACTAGTCTTCCAACAAACAAGATAAATACATTGAAGATTAGATATAGAACCGTGTGCGAAGTACGTGAAGCGCTCGTTAAATCTTTCAACACAAGAAAGTGAGTAAGTGTGGTTACTATGATTTTAATTGCCACATGTGTCTCATATCTTAGATACTTGACACAAGTCATAACAATTTTATTAACACGTGACAAGCTTAAATTTGTATATGTTGCATCACTTTACAATTCCAAACTTAACTTTAAAAATTATCTTAATTTTGAAAAATTTTCACTTTGATTTACAAGTCAACTGAGCTTTAGAAACGTCTAAATAGCAGGAAGGAAGGCCAACAACTGAATCTAGCTAACGTTCCTGAGCTTTCTTCCGGTGGACGATTACATGAATATTCAATGACATTTCTCCAAATATTGCCTAATGCGGTAGTTTTGCTCTTCATGTGGGCTTGGCACACAAGTCGTTATAGCGATACCATTCAAGTAACACTTAGGGATTTTGCCGCCACGTCACAAAGTCAAAATTCTTCAAAGCTTTACTATCCTTGATGCTTGTTTCTTAGTCTTAGCAAAAGTATATGTATATGCCACATTAGGTCTACAAGTTCGGTAATCTCTTTTATTTCTAATGCTAGTTGGTCATTTTTAGTTTCATTTGAACCTTGAAATATAAATTGTATAGAAATTACATATTACCACATTTAAATAAAATGGTTTATACCATGATATATATGTTGATAGTTGTCCAGATGTATTTTACTTACTCCCCGAAATGCACGACATTTATTTGAAAGTTTACGGCAATACATAGAGGAAGACAAGGCCGACGTGTCGATTCATTACAAGCGGAATGCAACTTAAAGTAGTGTCCGTCTGAATAGGCTGCTGTTACTAAGGATGTCACTGTTTATCAAATTCAACGCGTAAGGGAATTAACCGCACTACATAGTTTAACATGAAAAACAGGAAACTAATTTGTTCATGCTGTTCATATTGCCAGTGTTAGTGAAATTTTTTCGGACGATATTATATTGTAAATTTAATCTGATTTACAAAGAATTTGCCTATGTACTGATGCAACGCATCAAAATCATTCTTGTGTTTGTTTCTTTCTTATTTTAAACTTCTTCTAATTAACATTAGCATAGTAATACGTTATTAACATATACACAGGGCAAAAGGTATCGCAAAACACCATATTGTTCATAGTATCAATAAGTTACCGCTAATTATAGCAAAGGAGCGTATCTAAACATCAATTTAACTTACTATCTGGATATATTGACCTTCAAGGAATATCCAGATCTAAACGCAAAATGAACGAAAAAATATATTTTACTCAGAAAATCAAACATGGCCAAAATCGACACTTTTGAATAATAGAAATCGACTTTCGTCGGACCAGTGGAAGCTTCAAGGTTCTGCCGTCGGTGGTGGAAGCGTCAGTAGTGGAAGTGTAGCGAGCAGTGTGCGAAATAGCCACTGGACCGCTAGCCCGTGGCTAGTAAACATCCAATCGGGCCATTAAATTTCCACACTAATTATCCTGGGGTCATTTTCTAAATATATCACTTTTTTTTGACTTGTTAAGTTATAATACACTTTTAAATCATGCAAGATTATGGCCTGATAAAAATTGTTCATCATATTAGCAGCTTAATTATGAAACCCGTGTCTACATTCAAATTTCGGGCTAGTGAATTATTTTGTTGGGTAGCAACTTTCAGGCATAGCTAGCCCGACTGGTTAGCAAAATTTGGACACTATTTAGCACACTGGTAGCGAGGCATCAATGCGTATTACTGGAGACCTTGAATGGTCATCTATGGTAGTTTGACAGGCGTGCGGTACCCTGACGAACTTCAATCCCCACGTCACTCCGTTCCTTTATCACTTCACTGAAGGACATGCATGGTAAAACAAATTGTAACCGATCAATTCCACAATCCATGGGCCGCATTTTTGCCACAGGAACATGCTAACATGGTCCAGATCTGGAATGAATTCCCACAACCATCTTGTATCTGCAATGGGTCACTCTTGTCAAGCTCTTGTCAAGAACTTTGGTCATACCCGATGCTGTATTGTGTACAGATAATTGACACCACCACCACAACCACCACCCCACACACACACACACCCCACCACCCCCACCCAACACTCCCAAATCCTGTTACATCAATAAACCCAAAACTGACAATTTTCTCTTTATAAAGGCAAGAGATACTCAGTGAGTGAGTGAGTGAGTGAGTTAATATTTATCGTCACATCGGCAATATTTCAGCCACATCGTGACGAGAACAATTAATAATTTTATTATAGATCAATAAATTAGAAAATAGAAGCCTGTTGACGAAGAACAGTAAAACTACAGGTGTATCGCAGATATCCATTTAAAACTAGTAATTAAATCTAAAACATTTTAACTAGAAATGACAAGTCAATGAAAACACAGGCTATAGGTTGCCAACGACTGAAGGTAGATCACCATACTAGGGACCATGGGGACTTACAGTACATTTGCTACCTGCATGGACCCTAGCTGGATTTACATCATCCCTTCAGCCGTTAGCAACTGAGACAGATCTAGCCATACATTTAAGAAGACACATATTCTACGATTAAAAATAGAGGAGAGTTTTAATTTACTTTGAATGTTTGTGGACTTACGTACCCTCTCAGGAGGACAATATTTTTACAGTACTTTAACTCCAAGGGGTACTTAGGATTAATTAAGGGTTTCCAAAACGATTAGAGATTTTAGTTTTCAGTAATAGTTCACTCAACGAGTCTCTCAAGACAGATGTGCTACAAACAGAAACGCTGTTGCAAAGGATGTTAGTAGTCTATATTTGTTCTAAGATTTGTTTTTTGTCTTTTAATTTATTATATTCTTGCTGTTTGGAAGAGTTTAACTGACAAAATCTAAGAGTTAACCTACTTAGCAACTTTAATTTTCAGCATGTAAGAACTTAACAAACATGTTAAGAAATGTTATTTTGTGTTATTATTTATTCAGATATACATGTGTTCCAACCACCAGATGCTGAAACACTGTAGAAACATGTGCGACCCATGGGTGTTGATGATGGTGTTTGTCTTGATCCATGAATCATTCTCTGCCGAATCAACAATTGGCTGCATCCAGTCTCCTGATCTACTTCATCATGGAACATTTGTGGATTGTAGGAACAGAAACTTGGAAAGTGTCCCCGAAAATCTTCCCCGGAACACAACACGTTTAGATATGAGCCATAACAGCATTTCACTCCTTGTAAAGAGATTCCTACATTTGCCGAACCTAAAATATCTGGACCTATCGTTTAATAAAATAATACGACTTGACGAAGGGGCGTTTCAGGAAACTGCTGATTTACAAGAACTCTATCTAAATGACAACCAGTTGAGGCTTGATTCCAGCACCTACCCAGATGATGTATTCCAACCTCTACAGGAGCTTCAGATCCTTCACCTTCACAACAACGACCCTCGAGACAAAGGATCGTATCCCGAAAAGGCCTTTGAGAAGCTCAAGCGTCTTCAAGACCTGAAAATTGACACTTTCACCTACACCACCTTTGGACCAGGATTTTCAAAGCTTACAAGTTTGAAGCGCCTTCTATTTGGATTTAGCCAGTGCAAACTTTCATTTATATATAATGATACCTTCCAATCATTTCAGTACAGTGTGCAGATAGAAACACTTGATCTTCATCTGTGCCCTCTCACCAGAATACAACCAGATGCTTTTCGGTACCTTGGGTCAGTAAAGAATCTGATCCTGTCAAATGCAATTACATTAACTCCCACTGAAGCAGTATCTGCAATGTATGGCCTCAGAGGAAAAAACATAACTTCCATCAAAATTAATCATATCTTTCAATTGTTTAATCTTAAAATAGGATTAATGAATCAGCGAATATTAGGTAAAGATATCGTAGCAAATCTGAAAGATGTCTGCGTGGAGAGATTTGAAATGATCAACTGTAAACTGTTATGGTTTGACAGTTCAGTTATTAATGACCAGTCTATATTTGCGTCCTGCATTAAGTTTATTGACTTTTCTGGCAATGATTGGTTCGGAGATCCTAAAATATTGTTTGAAATATCCCTAATGCCAAATCTTGTATCCCTCAATTTGTCAGATACCTACAGCAAAACACAGGAATCTACCAAACAGAAAATTGTAGAGGTATGTGGTATCTCAATCCCGACATTAGGCCTTACCGTTCCAGAAAGACTGGTGTCTTTGGCCATTAGTGGTAAGAACTTTGGCTGTTTCGCTAATATAACTATGTACAATGCTACGTCCCTGACCTATGTGTCTCTGACATATGCGGGTCTAGACGGGTTCATCAGTACAGTCAGTGGGCTTACTAACCTTACATATTTAGACATATCCGGTAATAACTGTGCGGGAATATCGTCGAGCTTTTTAGCCAACTTCCCTATGCTTAATACCCTGATTATGTCCGATACCAATCTTGACCTGGGAGAGGCATTATCTAAAGTGCAACATGGCTTATCATATCTACCTAACTTACATACACTGGACGTGAGCTCGAACAATCTTCGACTGCTTAGTGTTCCCACCTTCCAAGGAGCTCCACTGAAGTCCATCATTTTGTCAAACAACAGATTCTCAGCCATACCTTTTGACCTATCCACAACGCCACACCTGGGTTACCTTGACCTCAGCTCCAACTCAATCGCTGCACTTTCATTAACGGAAATGAAACAGCTCGATGAACTAGCCACCAAGAACAACCTCTCTTTAGACCTTAATGGCAATCTCCTGTCGTGCGGATGTAAAACGTTGGACTTCATCGTGTGGTTGTTTAAGACAAATGTGAAGACAAGGGCAAGGGACTCTGCATGTGCCAAGGACGACGGAGCAGTGACAAATACGTCCTACATACATGAACATTACGATGAAATATGGAAGCAATGCGTTGGGGGCTTTTGGCTTTCCATCAGCGTTGTTTGTTATGCTGTTATTGTGTTGGTGACCATTGCATTATTTGTCATTCATCGACGAAGAACGCTTCTTATAAACATTGTCTTACGGATGTTTGGTTTTAAGACAACAAAGAAAGTACTGAAAAGAAAGGATTTTCCTAATGATGCTTACATCGCATACAGTGAGAACGACTACAGGTATATATGTCACACTGTTAGAAATATCCTGGAGAACCAGAATGGACTGAAGTTGTTCATCAAGGACAGAGACACCGTCCCTGGAGGACAAATTGCTGAAGATATCATCGACGGTATAGACTCCAGCTGGAATGTAATTTTTGCTCTCAGCCAATCATTTCTTGAGGATCAGTGGTGCCACTTCATTGTCAACCGTGCTGTGTATTCGTCTTCTAGAATGCCCGCAGGGAGCATTGTTCTGGTGTTGTTTGAGGACGTGAGACGAGGTGACATCCCTCCAACCTTACTGAACGTTGTGGAGGAGAGATACATCTTCGACATTGAGAAGTACAGGGGCGACGAAGAGAGACTGTGGAAAGATGTCTGTCAGTGTGTTGTGATGGACAAAGACAATTAGTTTCAATCTCAGACTTAAGGTGTTTCATCAGGTACTTACGTTTTACAACGGGTTTTACAAGGGGTATTGTATTATTCTCTGGGCCGATGGGGCAGCCTAGTGGTTATACCGAAGGCCCGGGTTCGATTCCCCTCATGGGCACAATGTGTGAAGCCTATTTTTTGTGTCCCCACGTTCATATTGCTGGAATATTGCTAAAAGCGCCGTAAAACGTAACTAACTCACTCAATTACGTATTATTCTCAACGTGAAAACAATCAACCCTTTAGGTAACGAAATGAAGTGAAATAGAAAGCAAAACTGTCTTAGTGTGGAGTTTCTAGTGTTAGACAAAAGCGACAAAACCTTTTCCAATTTGAAGGAAATCTCAGGTAGAAGCAGAGTTGATTATTATGAGCATATGTCTATGAATCACTATCCAGTAGAAATGAAACCAGGAGTTCACGAAAAGTGAAACATAATAATCTGAAGATTCATCTCAGTTGAGTATCGATCTTTTTATTTGTGAAATAACGACTAGGGATTCAAGAGATATCCTTCTTTCAAAATGGATTTTATATTTTCTCATTATTTTCAAAAATCCCAACTAAGTAACAATATCAAGAATATATATATTGAAACTAAATAAACATATAAGGGGGATGGCGAACGAACCTTTGGCAGTTCTTCGATGCTTCTTCGAAGAGTCTAGGTGTAGGTATGTAAGTATTTATAAGTAGGTATTTCACACTCATACATATTATTTTCACATCGTTTGACATCAGCTCAATGTTGGTGCCATTCATAAAATGAAATGTCATGAAATATATAGATTGTAACCACACATTCTGCCGAGCATCCTTTATCTGGTGACCTTTACATCCCTTCGTGACATACGTTTGCCCATTGTTCTTTTCACATGCTAATTTCGCACAGGAAATCAAGTTGTGAATAAGTTTATGTGTAATAAAGAGTATTTTATTGATTTGTTTCATATTTCATAACACATAATTATAAAGACGAACATCTGTGTTACGTCTACATTTTGTGTTGTAGGAAGGTACATTTGACACAATCTTTATCAATCAACTTTTCAGAAAGAGTCACACAACGTTCCAAACTCAAAAATACTGCTCAGCATAAAGGGAAACTGTACCATGTAGTGAGTGGATTTAGTTTTACGCCCAACTCAGCAATATTACAGCTATATGGCGGAAGTCTGTAAATAATCGAGTCTGGACCAGACAATCCAGTGATCAACAGCATGAGCATCTATCTACGCAGCTGGGAGACGATGACATCTGTCAACCAATTTAGTGAGCCTGACCACCCAATCCCGTTACTCGCCTCTTACGCCTCATAGGTTAGTGAAGATCTTTACCATGTAGTCTTGTGTCCAGTGAGAGCGCTTTGTCAATAGGTTCCCTTGGGTTAAATCTGCTAATCCCAGTAGTCAACCCGATTCTTATACACCCGATGAAGGGTCCCTCAGTATCCATGGGGGGACGGGTAGCATCGTGGTTAAAGCGTTCACTCATCACATCGAAGACCCGGGTTCGATATCCCATATTTGTGCAATGTGTGAAGCCCATTTCTAGTGTCCTCCGCCGTCATATTGCTGGTATCCCAGACAAAGCGGCGTAAAACCATACTCACCCACTCACGCATGAAGAACCAGATCAACAAAAACAGGGGAACAACTGGTGCCCGTGGTGCTCATTCCCACTTCTTGTCTGAATGTATCACCCCCAGTCTTAACACAGATATTTTGAATTTTGAATATTTAAATATTTTTGGGATTATGGTGTACAAGACAAATGTTTTAGCAGACAGGAGCCTGCTTGTTTATAAGATTGCAAAACATCAAGCTAATAGTTTTGAGTTTAAGAGACTCCACGTGGTATTAATTCCATCTTTTTAATCACCTTATGTAAATATAAAGAAAGTTAATCTTCGAGCCAGGTACTTGGAAGTACAGTTACGTTTGTGGAGACTGCATTACATGTAATATCATGTGCACGTTGTACCAACAGAGTGGAGGTGAAATTGGTTCAAAGTCAGAAATGGGCTTCACACATTGTACACATGTTAGGAATCGAACCCGGGTCTTTAGCATGACGAGTGAACGCTATAGGCTACATCACCGCCCCGTTTTCGAATGAATCAAGGTTTACTATGTACTTCCTTGAGAGGCGCAACAGAGTGTGGTGAAGACGAACTTTTCATGCGGTTAACTTTACACAGAACCATTGTTTTGAGGGTGGATCAGTCATGGCGTGGTGTTGGATCACCGTGACTGGCAGAACATCTTTCCATGTCCTTCACGGATGTGTCACTGGGCAATATTACCGTGACAACATCTTCGAGGCACACGGTGCTTTTGCCATTAGGAAGACAACGCAATATCACACAGGGCAAGTACCTCAACCAGGACATCATAACCACCTTACCGTGGCCAGCACTCCGTCCAGACTTGTCACCCATTGAACTTGTCTTGGATATCACCGTCAACAACCACCGACCACTCTCAACAAACTTGGAGCTGCCCTGCAGGAAGAATGGAGTCAGTGAGTGAGTTTAGTTTTACGCCGCTTTGAGCAATATTCCACCAATATCACAGCGGGGGACACCAGAAATGGGCTCCACACGTTGCACCCATGTGGGGAATCGAACCCGGGTCTTTGGCGTAACGAGCGAACGCATTAACCTCACCGTCACCTGGAAGAATGGAGTGAACCTAGTTGACATTGGGCGTTGATAAGGTGTATGCCTCGGGCAATCTGTGATTGTCTTAAGAATAGAGGCGGATTCAAGCGAATGACTTGAGGGACATTACTGCGAATTGGGAGTGAGATGTCCCCAGGGGCGGATACAGCTTTTTGAGAAAGGGGGCCACACTCTTCAGAAAGGGGAGGGGGTGCACACTTCATTTCACGAGAGTTTCAATTGTCATTTAGTAAACTTTCAGGAACAAAGGGGGAGGGGGGGCTCACCCCTGCACCCCTGCACCCCTTCATCCCCCTCTGGTTCCGGCTATGGTCCCTGTTACACTATTCGTCTCACTAAAGATGAAATATCAATCCGTGTGGCACCTGTTTATTGAATATTCCTTACATTTTGAATAGTATATATACATGACGGACCATTTGTATCACAGACGCTATAGACGGGCAGGATAAGACCAACGATGATCATCCTCACATATAGATATTTCCTATTTACAGTAATCAATATATAGCAAATATGATTTTGTATTTTTCTGGGTTTTTTTATTTTTCAGCAAAATATATTGGAGCCCAAGAAAACACGGTCATGGAAGACACTTTGGCTTTCATAACAAAGATTTGTGTTAAAAACTGTAAAGATGTATTGTTTTATATGAAATATGAATCTATCTACTCCATGCACGTGTAACCTAAGCTAACTGCAGATTTTACCATGCATGCATTAGTGCAGTCATGTGGTCACAAAAAGTCAGGTAAATACAACCTAGGCTATTAAGTCAATAGCATGACTGTACACGACACCAAAAATAACAGAAATTCGGTCATAACATCGCTCGTGAGGCAGTGATCAAATGAGTTGACAGCAACCCCTGGACAGTATGTCAATAGAACACACGTGTTGGACATTCCGAGTAGCGAAGTATTTACAAAATCATAACTGCAAGCATATTATACAACTGAGATCAGCCATGCTGCTCTTTTTTTAGATTTATGCAAACATGTTATACAATTGTGATCAGTCACGTAGAAAGTGAATATGACCTAACACACGGGTATAGGAGCACGTGTGTTGTGACCTTAAATGTACAATGGGCTTAAGTGTAGAATAGTCATGAATATTCATCAGTGGGCGGAGATTATATGACCACGTCAGACGTGTTTCCTAAGGTACACTTAAGCCCATTCTACATTTAAGGTCACAACAAGATGGCCTTCCTTTTCGAGTAGCAGAGCAGTCAACGAAGAATGTCGTCTGTTCCGACAAATGCAAGGTAACCAGTCGTCTGTACCGACCAGTGAAAGGTAATCACTCGTCTGTTCCGACAGATGCAAGGTAACCAGTCGTCTATTCCGAGGTAAACCCGTCCGTCCGAACACATTTGTGTTCAAACAGTAACTTGAATGATCAATCGTCAATGCAGTCTCGCTTGAATCGAAGGCCATTATGTTCATCTGCTGAACGGCTTTTGTGGCCTTGCTATCTGCACGCGCGAAATGAGTTTGCATTTGATAGTGGAAATGACAAAACGCGTCTGGGTACACTGCATACTCCATTGTTCCTCTCATTCATACAAACCCGTGAAGTTTCAAATGTCGTTGGTTTGATTAGAACCAGCTTACACTCGTGAAGATCCGTGCTAGAATTGACCTTCAGCAACCCATGCTTGTCGTTAGAGGCGACTCGTGGGATAGGGCGGTTAGGCTCGCTGACTTGGTTGACACATGTCATCGTATCACAATTGCGTAGATTGATGCTCATGCTGTTGATCACTGGATTGTCTGGTGCAGACTCGATTGTTTACAGACTAGTGCCATATAGCTGAAATACTGCTCAGTGCTCACCCACCAGCCAACCAAATCCCATCCATCTCATGACTCTATTCTAAATTTGGTAAGCCTGGGCAAACAGCTAGGATTAAGGATGCCTATTACAAGCATGGGTTGATGAATACTAATTCTAACTTTGGATTTCATTGGGATTTCATTTTAAATTATCTTCAGTGGATATCTGATGATAAGAAAGTGGGTGTTCTGACACAGGAGTCGTCTATAAATAGGAATGACGTCACGCTAAAAATAGATATCAGTGGCATCTGATTAGTCAATGAGAATGACGTCACATTAATCAAGGTGCTGTGACCTTGATCTTTGACCTCGACCGTGTGTGACCTAGGTCCTTGACCTTAACCTTACTTGATGTGTATGTCGTCACATAATGAGCTTTGTGCTTATTAGTTATTGGTTAAATGATAAATGTGTCATCCAAAAAGCTGAATTGTGATTGGTTAATGAGTATTGGCGGTGACATGACATAAACACATTTGATTGTTCCCGCCATGTTTGAGCCTCTTTTTCTGTAGGTGGAAAATGAATCGAATGCAAAGGTCGGTAGTCACGGAGCGTTCCCTTTGTCAGGTCGGGTCAGAGACCTACATATGGTGTCTGGCTGGGTTTAAGTCAAGCAAGAATTCACCCAGTGGTCGCATGAGGAATTTATTACTGACCCCCGAATTAGATCTACCTGTGGTATGAGGTAACTATGCACTGAGTGATACACACCTTTTGTATTAGCAGTTTGTGTATTATGTTTACCGGCCAGTTCTGTCAAAGACCGTGGCGATTTCAGGTCATTGTGCAATAACCGGGAAAGAAATGAGGTCACTTAGAGAGACGGTGGAAGGAAGGGCAGTCACCTGTGTAAACAACCCTTTTGAATTATGGTTATACAACCTTGCACCACTGCTTATAAAGCCAGGTTATGGTTGTTTCATATCATTTCTATTGTAACTATTACAATGCATATATTTCTTCATACATTTTTATATTTTTCACAAATTATTCATAACAAACGAGGGGCGGTGGGGTAGCCTAGTGGTTAAAGCGTTGGCTCGTCACGCCGAAGACCCGGGTTCGAATCCCCACATGGGTACAATGTGTGAAGCCCATTTCTGGTGTTCCCCCGCCGTAATGTTGCTGGAATATTGCTAAAAGCGGCGTCATAACAAAAGACATCGGAGTAGGTGTAAGTCGCTGTGCATAGTCTGTCTTGTTTTTAGCCCCACATGTCAAGCGCAGCAGAAGGCAATTAGCAAACGCGTCCACGCCAACCTTAAACTAATTAATCAAAGATGAAGCTACTGAGCTGTATCGGCTCCGGCCTTTCTTCTCGGGTACATCCCTTGGTCAAGTACAGATAAGTAGTGTCATCCCAGCAGGAGAATGTTTTACCACCAACTAAGTCGTTATCAAAAATCAACTTTTGGTGAACAAGATCGAGATTATCATCACACCATCCCTTTATCCTGTCGTAAATGCCGTGGCCAAGCGCTGATTGATATTTTGTTACCAGCTGGCGCAAGTTGACCGTGGCTACACCATAAAGAAAATCAAACCTTGTTAGGTAATCATCTTCTTACCACCTACCTTGTGTAGTAAACTTTGTCAGCATAGGACAGATAACGCATATGGAAACTTCAACTTTATAGAAACTTGATAATGACAAACGAGTAGAGCTGTGGGTTATAAAATCCTGGGTTCTACCATCTCAGGAACAGTTGCTTGAATAAACCGAAGGAACTCACAGCTCTCTCCTTTCTTGTTTCAAGGTAAGAAACATTTAAACTTTATTCTTGTTTATGTCTAACTTGTTATTTCTTTGTAATTATTGTCTAGAAAATGTTAGAGTGAGGTTTGAAACATTCCTACGATATTGAAGCACTTTTAGAAATACCTACCATTGTAAATGCTAGTTTTAGATATATCCAGGGATATTTTTATGCACATTGCGTCGTGGGCTCTTCAAGTTTTATGTCTTTCGTGTACAAACAAATATTTCTTTTCTATGTTTCGACACACACATGTAGATCCCCAGTCTTTGTCTTGTTTTATTCATTTGCGTGTTAGATCTGTATATGCAGGTTAGATTCTCGTTCAGTAGCCTAGATTCTAGTAGCCTAGTCACAAAAGCAGTCCGCCGATCAAATGATATTCGTGTAGATTTACCTCAAATACGCGCTCACATGATAGGTATAACAGCCAACATTTGTCTTTTGATATTTCACCAACACGATATGTATTTGAAAATGATATATTAAACGTTCCGATCCGCGTGCGTACAGTCAATACCGGAGTTAAATGGTATATGTCAAATCTGAGCACTTCTCGTCGTTTACCGTATTTGCTCAAGGCATGTATGGTGATAACGGAAATTTACTGACACTAGTCATAAATCGTTACCGTAGTTAATGCATTAAGCGCGACATACCGTAATAGTCGTAAATTCCTACCGTAGTCAATACATTAAGCGCAACATACCGTAAATATCATAAATTCCTACCGTAATTAACGCAATAGGCGCGACATAACGTAATTGTCATAAATGGGTCCCGTAGTTAACGCACTAGGCGCGACATAACGTAATAGTCATAAATCTGCACAACAGTTAATGAACTAGGCACTACATGCTGTAATTAAACTGTTGGGCGCTCCACTCAGTACTTGTTCTTTGCAATTGTTGTTGATGATTAATTTATCCGTCAGGTTAAGTTATTTATCAGTACCGTAGTTACTCAAGGAAATGTTGTATTATTTGTATTATGTTTCTGTAAGCAGTTACCGTACATACCCTGTTGTACCACACATTGCTTGTATTACCTGACTTAGACTTAAACTGTATTAGGATATCATTGATTACTATTTCTATTATTGTATGTCATTATTATGTATGAATTGATGTATTTTGAATGTCATGCAAGGACACTTGCTTGAATAAACCGGAGGAACTCACAGCTCTCTCCTTTCTTGTTTCAAGGCTCGCTCCCTATAGCTAATTCCCCAAATCGAGGTTTCGACAGCACCTTTAGCACACCTAGCGCTAAAGGTCGTCCTAACGGACACAAGCATAGCTGTCTTATAACCATGCCCGCTGAAGGATGGAAAGAGTCCAGCATTTATTTGAAGCCTGAACACCCAGCCTCCTTTTCAGGTTCAACTACGTTATATCACTTGATGAAAAAGGAAGAGAAATTTGATATCAGCTTGCATCATATCAAGAACTGCTCAAGATGCCTATTCGCTTCAGCGACCTCTGAAGTACAAGTTCAAGCGGAACAGAGTTATCTCAACTGGTTTGAATGACCGGTTGGATATTGACGATCCTGTCTAAACCGGCACCCCACGGGACCAAAATATAATGCCGGCTTAGACAGGGTGCCGGATTTGACAGTGACGATCATTTTCCGACATGGCTGCCATATAAACTCGTCAATCTCTTTATCTCTATAATGTCTTTGATTGGGACCCTGATTGGACTGCTCATACCCATGCCGGCTTAGAGTTTGATTCACCGCGCAATCACTATTTCCTGATTATCTATCGTTAGAGGATTAATTAGTGTATTTGATTATTGGTCCTTGTTTGGCCTGCTCATACCCATGCCGGTTTAGACAGGTTTAATTACAGTTAAAATTGCTTATAGAATAGAATACGGAATAGACAGGTGCCGGATTAAACAATATTTACTGAAAATACTATCGTTATAAACTGGCGGAACCAAAATTATATGCCAGTTTTGAGAGTGTGCCGGATTAGACAGGTGTCGGTGTTGGCAGGTTTCACTGTACTTATTGATAGCTATTAATGTTTTCACACGATTTCTGTGGGTGGAGCCCCTTCAAAATATAACACCAAACAGCGTCATTAAGCCCATGAAGAAAATATTTTTTTCGTGCTACTTTACCACAAATTATTAGATCTGGGTGCCGTTCCACTAACCGATCTTATCTAAGATCAATCTTAGCAAGTTACGCCAATTTTACAATCGTCTTAGCTAAACGTTACACCCGTTCCACTACCCGATCATAGGCCGATCGTAGCCGGTCCCGATCTTACGATCCGATCCAAGCTTAGATCGAGACTCTTTCGTGCGAGAGATAGAGGAATGCGAGGCAAGAGTTATCTCCTTTTGCATAGCCTAGCAAATGATGGAAGTAGTTTACGAACCAACTGAGTGAGTGAGTGAGTGAGTTTAGATTTACGCCGCACTCAGCAATAGTCCAGCTATATGGCGGCAATCTGTAAACAATCGAGCTTAGATGCATAGCGTTCACTAACATGAGCGTCGCTATGTATCTTAGCTATAAATAATCGAGTCTGGACCAGACAATCCAGTGATCAACAGCATGAGCATCGATCTGCGCAGTTGGGAACCGATGACATGTGTCAACCAAGTCAGCGAGCCTTACCACCCGATCCCGTTAGTGGCCTCTTACGACAAGCATGGGTTATTGAAGTTCAATATTCTAACCCGGGCCTTCATGGGTATTTTTCCAACCAAGTGTAAACGTGGAGAAAAACCTAGAGCAAAAATATTGCACCTTGGTTTCAGGTGCAAGTGCGTGTGAACGCTTGGTATCAGGCATAATATAATAATAATAAATGCATATTTATAGTGTGCTTATTCCACATCATTGGGCATGCTCAAAGCGCTGTGTACAGATAATTTACACGAGAGTATTTACAGCCGAGATTATGAGTAATATACTGAGAACAGGTTTTAAGTCTGGAATTTAAAAATGTCAATTGTGTCAGAGCTTTTGATATGTGCCTGAACCTTGTCAATCAGCATAAACAAGGCGTGACGAGGCTATAACGTATGTAGAATCTGTCAGTGGTCTTCAATAACACGCGGCCTGCCTTTAGAATCCACCACCAAATATGCGCAGTGAAATCAAACATATTTGTATCTTTTTGCTTCAGAACATTGTTAACCATGACGTTGCAATATTGTTGTACAAATGTGTTACACCGACTCGCTCGGTTGTGTTCCCATGACGACAGTGGTCAGACTGGCCTGACATTTGTAAGGCTTCAGTGCAGTGTTTGTTTACATCACAGAAATATACAAATTCATTTCATGGGGGATTTTAGGGGACGCTCACGGTGAAATTGCTCGCTCTTATTTTTCACATAGAATAGGAAAGCCACCATTTTGGTTTCTCTACGATTGATTTTAGCTATCCTAAGTTGGTCATGAGCAACTTAGACTTTGAATCTTAACTTTACGATTGACTTAGGTAAGATTGGTTAGTGGAACGGTATGCCGATCTTAACGTCACGCTAAGATTGATTTTGAGTTTACGATTATAGCTAAGATCGGTTAGTGGAACGGCACCCTGGGTTCCACTAACCGATCTTAGCCCTATGCCAATCGTAAACCAACACCAACAAAAGACGATATCATATTTGCCAGTAGCAAAATCATTATACAATTGAAGAATTTCAATTAAAAGTGAACGTTTATTTGTTATGTTATTAATAACCTGAAGGCATTAAAGAGAATCTGAAAAAAATATGAACTGCTTATATTTAGACTGATGTATGTATGTTAGAGCTGATAATTAGAAGATAAAGCTAGGTTTTAAATTAAACATTTAGCGGTCTTAAATCAACGATAAAGGACCGCAAAATTGAAAACAGAGTAGCTTTATCTTCATTCTAGCACGACTGATAAACGTTTTAAAACCGAACTGTTTGGCGAGCAAGAACACAAGGCGCAAAGGGACCTTTTTCCTGGAAATCGCTTGGAATCGTCCCGTTGAGGGACAGGTTGTGTAATGAACAAAATAAGACATTTTCAACAACATAAATGCTATATTTCAAGAACCAATATGCTTGTATTTGTAACAAGTAGCATACATAAATATAAAAAAATACAGTTTATACTGTGAGCAAGTACAATTATGTGATTTTTCAAAAGCGAATTATTGATCTCCCCTACTGTATGACAATCGACTCGCCCACATGCAAGCCGTGAACTCGCAAAGTTTAGTCGCCGCTAACTTTATTAACGGAAATAATTGTTGATAAACACCCTACTATTCCCAATTTGGAAAAGACCTGACATGCCACGTTTTATGTGGGATACATTGACAGTGGAAGTGGAAGGATTGGGCATTACGGCCGGGAAGGAAGCGGTCAGGTTAGGACGTGTGGGCCGACGTGTGTTGTCGACGTCAACACACGTAGATCTGGACCCGCTTTGAATATACTGCCGCTTTTGCGTCTGCTGACGGATTTTCCAGCTTCGTAGTTTCTTCACTGGGATTAGGGTCAAGAAATTCTTCTTCAAACCATTCGCTTTTTACTTCAAAAACACCAAAGATGCTGCCGAGATAGAAATTGCCGATGTCCGACATGTTGTTTACGAACAATAGGGTCAACGAGTTCGTTGTATTCATACGCGGTAAAACGGTCACTTTAATTAGCGGTCCTTAAACTGTCATTTAAAGTACGGTTTTGATGAGCCCTCAGCCAATCAGAATCGAGTATCACACATTGTCGTGCTAGAATTAGAAGATAAAGCTACTCTGTTTTCAATTTTGCGGTCCTTTATCGTTGATTTAAGACAACTAAATGTAATTTAAAAACCGAACGCGTTAGCGTGAGGCATTAGCCTCCGCTGTAAAAATGGAGCAGTCATGAGCAGTCATAATTGTTTATATTTACGACAAAATTGGATGCGATTATTTTTTTATTTTAACATTTAAATCAATTTTCTAAACACCTAATTATCAATTTTATGTAGACACAGTTGTAGCTGCGTTTC